CCAGCTAGCGGAGCTGGGTGGCGGAGCACCCTGCTTACCTGCCGTGTGGCGGTGGGTGACCTGTGAAGAGCTCTCCAGGGGTGTGCATGAGAGACTCGGGAGTTGGTTACAAGTGACCCCTTCAGCCGCAGTTTCTCGTGGACAGGAGTAGGAATTTAGAAGCCCTGGGAATACTTAAGTCACTCTCGGTGTTCTGGTCCCCAGGGAGTTCTCTTCTGTTCCTCGTGTTGCCCTGATTTGCCATTTATTTATGCCTTCGGCGGTCAGAGAGAAGGGCTTCGGGTCTGGGATATAAGCACAGTCTCTTCAGGTAAGAACACTTTTTTCTGCATAAGTTGTCTGAGGCCTGCACAAACCAACCTGCAATGGTAGACAATACTGGGATTGTCTGCAGTGTGTTCTGCTTAGAGAACAGACAAGACCACATGGCGTTTGAAATGTCATGGATTTGCCTTCCCGCTCTGGACAGGCAGGAGGAGCACGGTCTTAGAGCGGCTCACCCCTTGCCAGGCGCCAGCATGCACAAATCGCCCTTTTCCAGTTACCTGCTACAGAGCGCAGCTTTGCTGAAAGGCCCTCTCCCCTCCCAGCGGAGGAGCCTGGTGTAACCTATAAACACAGGATACAACCACACTATGTGGTTCCTGAAACCTCTCCTTCTTGCAGAAAAACAGGTTCTGAGAGTTCTCTCTGGGTTATTCAGGTTATGTATGTGTGTAACAGTCCCAAAATCCAAATGATACAGAGAAAGGTGAAATCAGTAGAGAACAAAAGGGAAGGAGAGAGTCACTGTTGTCAAGGGAAGAGCCGTCCTGCCAATTAAACCAGGACAAGCTAAAGAAAGTTGAGACTTAAACAGAAACTGACCAATTTAAAACCTCATTCAGTCCATGAAGTTGGTCACTCACATGTCCACATGCAAGTGTTACTTTCATAATCAAATAGGCTTCTCCTTGTCTCATGTGTAACTCAGCGATCTACCTGTGTTTTAGTGAATGAAGCATTCGGAAGACGAGAGAGGTTTGTTCTGGGCAACACAAGAAATTCCTCTATTAATGGCCCTTTTGGGACCAGGAGCTCAGACACACCAATGGAGTCATAATAAAGGTCATACCTGAGAAACGGTTCGTGTAGCTACCGCCGTGGAATCTCCGGAACAAAATTCGTTTCCTGTCGCCTGACATTCCTCGCCTCTGCTCCCCACCTGAACGTGTGGAGTCTGGGCGGCTGTGCACTTCCTGAGAAAAATAAAGATTTTTAAAAACAATTCCTTTATGCCATCTGTCACAGATAAGAGACACACGAAATAGTCACTTCTCGTGAAAGTTGGGGAAGTGGAGGCCGGGGCCCCAATATCTGCAAGCACCGAAGTGTTCGCAGTGCACCTTAGCCTCTGGCGACTGCAGGGTGCCTCTCACCAGCAGGAAGGAGACGAGACAGTAACAGTGGCATGTGCCACAAGGGTCAGACGGGAGCGCATGAGAGAAGTTGAAACTTTTGACTGAACGATAGTGTAAAATATTGTAGGACATTACAAGATTTACAGTCTTAAATTTAGCATATTAGGGAAAAAAAGAAAACCAAATTAAAAATACAAGAATACCAAAGAGGAGAAATTGTCATAGAAAATCAATGATATGGAAAATCAGCAAAACACTGATTCTTTCGAGTGCTCAGGTAATAAGCTACAAGCAACACTGAGCATAAAACAAATCAGAAGCAAAGGTGGTGACATTAAAGACCTTACATTAAGATGAGACTTACTCCAAACAAGTCATGTTAATTGAAAATTTCCTAGAAAACATAACTCACTGATACTTTCACACAATAAAAACAGCAAATCCAGACACGGAACCCAGCACCACACCAATGCGGCGCCCGACAGACTAAGCGGCCACAGCACTCACGGGCTTGGTCCCTCGTCAGGCTGCAGCCGCAGGGCACCGATTCACAACACAGGCTGAGTTCACAGCTTCAGCAGGTTCCTTCCATGAAAAACACCAACACCTGGGAGCTGGGTGGGCATCAGCGCACCTGCAGCGCAGGAAACTGGTTCTTGAGAGGATTCCAGGGACCTAAAAGCCTGAGCCTGAAGCAGCCCTCTCCCCCAGCTGCCGCATGGCCGTGGCGCCAGCGCCCGGGAAGTCATTCCTAGTACGCTCCGCATTTCTACTGCGTCCCACGACAAAGCCACCCATCAAATTCTAAAGTCTTAAGTGGAAAAGGCAGCTTCCATATTAACAGAATGCAGATCTGTCTCAGACGTGTCAAGGCCCTGGGGGTGGGAATGGGGAGAGAAACCGCACTCCTGTCAGTGTACTGATTCCCGGCAAGGGAGGGGCAGGGGCGTCGCCCAGCGCCAGGCACGGCTGTCTGCCCCCACGCACAGCACAGCCCGGAACGAGCCAGGCCAGAGAGCTAGTCCCACATTCCCCTTCCTTGAGGATTTGTTCCCTGCGCACCTTCCGATACCAATTATGTGATCAGCATTCTTTGCAGACAAGGGTCCTCAAGCAAAAGAATCTACAAAGCAGTATAGACGCCTCAGAATCTTTGAAAGGCTGAAAAGACAGTCGAGGCGGAGGGCAGAATGAGCCGCGGGCCGCAGAAGGGCTCGCAAAGGGAGGCAGCGGCTTGGGAGGCCCGGAGCCCCTGCCCCAGCGCAAAGCCAGCCCCAAGCCCAGCCACACCTGTGAGCTCAGCCTGCCGAGGGGCGCCACAGCCCTGCTCGCCCCACACAACTCCGTCCTGAGCCAGCCTCACACCGGTGCATCCCGTTAGAGGCTCTGGATTTTTGAGAGCTTATTCCCAGGAGGGTTTTCAGCTGCCAGACACCAGAGCACTCCCAAGGACCGACAGTCCACCGTCTCCCCGCGCAGTGAAGACAGTACCATCCCTCCAAGAGCCTGCACGCTGCCCCGCCTGGCACGACGATGCCTGGTTCCTTTCGGTGCCGCACTGCGTGGTGGGTCTCCCACAACTACTCGGCATTTCCTTTCCGGAGGACGCTGACGCTCTTGCAGGACGTCCCCTCCTCCCCACACCCCTGCAAGGAGGGGGTCTCACACCCAACGCTTGGCTCCTGTGTGCTGCTGGGCCTAAAACTAGATTCCTGGCCACCTGCCTTGTTTTCCTCGCGTATCCATCTCCTTCCTCTGCCCCTTTTAAACACCGGCAGGTCCCTCTCGCGGAGAGAAAGGAATGTGCTGGGCGAGCGGCCCACCCTGCTCTTCGCAGGCCACGAAACACTGCATTTGGGAAACCTGATGCAAACCAGCCGGGCTCACTTTTTCCCACTGCAGCTTACCTGAAGGTCCTTGGAAAAGCCCCGAACGGAACACTGTCTTCTCCCACACTTCTGAAAAATTCGTTTCTCACAGCTGCGCCCCAGTTGCCTCTGAAGAATGAAGAGCAATGGCCCACAGAGGTGGCCTCTGCTTAGGAAACAACACCGCGCGGTGCTCGGCTGGGCTCTGCGGCGGCGGCACCTGGAACACGCAGGGAAGCGGCTGCAGGCGGCTCGTGCCCAGGGGAGCTGCTCCCAGGCAGCCGGTCACGCAACAGGAACGTAGGAGATACATGTCCAACGTGGGTGAAGGCCGGTGTTTCCGGCGTGCCCTACAGTGGTCAACCTCAGCGCACGGCTGGAGTCTGCAAGGAAAAGTGTCACCTGCCCGCGGCCGGGGTCGTCTGCTTCCTTCCCGGAGTTAGCCCCTTTTCTCCAAGCGCACTCTGGATATACACTGACCTCGCTGTTGGCCTTTCCCCACAGCCCGGGCGGGCTGGGCTGGCCGGGCGGGCCAGGCCGGGGAGGGGAAGGAGCCGCTGCAGACCAAAGACCAAGCTCAAAGCCCGAATCGCCCGTCTCCTGCAGACACCAGGTCCCCTGGACCCGGGAGGCTGCCCCACCCCCAGGACCCATCTGTAATCACCTCTTTGATGGCCCCCATCTCCCTACAGTCACATTCTGACGTACTGGGGAGTCAGGACTCCAACACAATTCAGCCCCTAGCACCCCAAGATACCTTGTTCTTGAGTGCTGGTCTCTGAGATGCAGCCTGGTGATCACGTGGCAGGTTTTGTTGGAGACGCGGCCGGACCGTGGCCAAGATGGCGAGGTGGGCCAGCTGCGGAGGGAGGGAAGGAAGCTCTAGTCCGGCTCGGGCCCCCGTGCTGAGGCAGGCCCGGCCCAGGTTACCAGCACCGTGGGGACGGAGCTCCCAAGCTGACCAGCAAATGGGGGCGCCACTCCTCTCCATCTGCGGGTACGCCAGAGGTGCCGCAGCCACCCAGCCTGGCGTGACGAGACCATCACGCTGCAGCGCTCACATCAGCGGCCACCCCGCAGGGCCCCGGGGCCCACAGGCCTAACACCCGCCTCCTGGCCTGGCACAAGGCAGCCGCAGTCGGGGCCTCCCGCGGCCCCCAGCAGGCTCGGCCACCGGCGGCTACTAACTCGTGCAGCTGGTGAGAATGACGAGTGTCCCGTTGACATCTAAGAGGTAAAAAATGAAAGTTGTAAACAGGCTGTCGCGGCCTCTCCTAAACCGAGCTCCAGGCCTCCCCGTGGCTGTGGCCAGGGTGTCTGTGGGCACCAGGCCTCCCCACCGTGGCCGGCCTCTCACTCCGCGCTGGGAAACGGACAAACTCGACTCGCTGGGGCGGAGCCGGGTGGGCACAGGCAGCGGTAGCCTCAGCAGCAGCAGCTTTCTGAGAACAGCGGAGGCTGCGGCCAGCAGGCCTTTCGCAAAAGGCGATGCTGCAGGCGCCCTCAAGGAGCGCCAGGGCCCCGGGGGAGCCTCCCTCCCCCACAGCAGACCTGCCAGTGCCCAGAGGCAGCCAGCACCGGGCGGCCCAGCGCCCTGGGAGCAGACCCTGCGGGCTCAGGACACTTGTTCTCCACCCCCAACCTGAGAGAAGCTGATGTGGTACCTGATTTTCCCCGCAAATTCTTTCAGTTCCTTTCCCCACAAAAGAAGTTGCAAGGTAAAATCCTCTATTAAAAAAAGTTTTTATTTTATCCTTCCTAGAGGAATACAGATTTGAATGAAATACATTCATCCCATAAATACAGCAGCAGCAGAACCTCCCCAGCAGGGTCCTCTCCTCCGCGGGGGCCGGGCAGCGGCCTCAGCCTCCCACGCTGGTGCCTCCACGCTGCAGGCGAAGATCCGCGAGCGATGAGCCGGCTGCGCTGGGCCGGGGCACACCCCTGCGTGGTGACGAGCGCGCCCACCGCCCTGCAGCGCCCACCTCGGGGCCCCTTGTCACCACACCCGGACGCAGCGACGAGCCTGGAGTCGCGCGCTGGGGTCGGCAGCGTTTCCATGGTGGCTCCTCATTTCCACAGGGAACGTGGGGGCGTTCCCGATGCCCCTCCATGGGTGAAGCACAGCAGGCCGCGGCGACGAGCCCACCGGTGTCAGCCTCTCACTGCTCCTCCAGGTCCCTTTCCAGGACTGGAGGTGACACGGGGGACAGACGCGTCTGGACCTCCAGCCCGCCGAGGGCCAGTCACAGGTGGCCAGGAACTCACCCTGGCCGCCACCCAAGCTAGCTCTTGGCTCCTGTCTCCTCTTCCCTCCGCACCACCACTGCCCGGCCGCTCCCTTCGGACCTGCCCTCTGGGCACCTGCTGAAACGTGGGGAGAGCAGCTACGCAAACTCCAGGGGACATCAAGGCAGGCGAAGCTTCCGACGCGGTAGCTCAAAGGAACGCGCTCACACTGCTGTGTTCCCATCCGCTGGGATGGGCATCAGTCACACCGGTCCGCAAAACGTCAAACACCAGAATCACAAGCAGCAAGCAGGCGAACTCTGAGCGGGAAGCAAGTGTAGCGTGCGACCTCACTGTCTGGGCGGAGGACAGTGACTCCGGCAGCCACCACTGCCCGCAGGGCCACTGAACAGAGGGGCCCAAGACGTGCCACTTTCCTGCCCGCATTATCATTCAAACACAGGACCCCTGCGCCCTTCCCGAGGGTCTGAAAAGCGCTTCACCAGAGCCGCGTCGGCAAGCGCTTTGCCCGTGCCCAGCAGTCCGTCCCGAAAGCTGGCGGGAAGGAAATCAGAAACTACTTTATATGAGAACCACTGTAGTGGATAACTGGTTATGTGTTTCCCCTTTAGTCTTGTCCATCCGAAACAGCCCACGGCTCCGCCTTTTATTTACGTGCAGAGAGAGACTCGGGGTACACGGCACTGCTGATCCGACAGTCCCCCGTCCCCAGAGAGTCCGCCAGCTCCTCCTCCTCCGAGTCCTCGTCCTCCTCCTCCGGGGCGGGGGAGCTGGAGGCCGGCCCCTTGCAGGTCTTCAGGTGCCGCGTGAGATGGTATTTGGTTAGATAAGCCTTAGTGCACTTCTCGCAGACGTAATCCCGCTTCCCTTCATGCGAGTTGAGGTGTTTCTTTAAGTGATTTGTTCTCAAGAACAGCTTGTCACACTGGGGACACTTGATCTGGCGTTCTCTAAAGGGAACACAGAAAGAGCATTGGGTTGGGGTTACGAGTGGGCGCCGAGGGGCGCACGCACCCTTCACAACCTCGGCCTTTGTCCGAGCTCCACCTTCTAGGATCGGCGCTTTTTAAGTGCTGCGTACCACAGAGAAGAGCTGTGAGGTTTGCCCAGTTTAAAGGGCACAGCCTGCGCCCGTCCTGAAACCTACAGAAAAGGAACCAGGCTGCACGCACCTCTTGGCCGGGCTCGCCGTGCCGTTTGCCCCCTCCCGGGCGGGTGCTTACAGGTCTGTCCCGACTTCTCTGTGCACCGGGCTTGCCTCCTGCTAGCCCACCCGGTGGCTTCAGCCCTGCACCCTCACCGTGCGGGCCGGCTCCTCTGGCTGCACGACTGGGCCGCGGACGGACGCGCAGGGCTGTGACCGCCTGAACAGCGCCGCTTTCCGCAGCCCTGCGTCGCCGCGCCCGCCCATCGGCCGCATCTGAGAGGGCTCTGGCCGCACACTGCAGCAGCTCAAGCTGGAAAGCCTTCGCCTGTCGGTACTGACGCTGGCTTGGCTCGCAGCCCCCACACACAAGTCAGCAGCCTAAGGGCTGAGTAACCTTGCGCAGACATTTAGACCTGAAAAAACTGTACGGAGGATACAGCCCGGAGCTCTTTCAAGCTTATTTCTAAGCAGCGGCCCCAGTGTCTTAACGAAGCCCCCCCCCCGCGAGCCCAGTAAGTCAGCATCCTTGAAAGCTGCCGGGAGGCCTGGAGCGCCCCAGGGGGAGGCGGCACGCTGGGGTGCTGCAGCCTGTGTCCACCGCGCCCCTGCCCTCCGGAGGGCTCGTGCCGTGCGGGAGCAATGACACACACGGCATCAGGCAGCGGCAGCACTAGCTGGCAGACAGGGAGCGCGTCGGTCCTAATCGGGGAGGGGCTGCGGAAGGTCAACCTGAGGCGATGGCATCTGGCAGAAACCTGAGTGCGGAAAGGAGCGTTTCTAGGGGTACGAGTGTCGAGGCAGGGGGAGCACGGTGCAAATCCCCGAGACTGCGTGTGCTCAGCATGCTGACGCGGCTGCTAACGGGAGAGGGCCTGTGTAGATAAAGCAGATTATGAAGAAAAAAGTCAAGAATCGATGAGCTGGGAAAGTGTCTAGCACAGGACCCGCCTCAAAGGGACTGGGGGCTCCGGGAAAGCCCTGGAATCCGGAGGAGCCACCGGAGTCCTGAGTGGACAAAGGCAGGCGGGATTCGTGCTGTAAGCGGGTGGCTCTGGCCACTGCGGGTGGACGACAGAGCTGCGTGGCCTGTGCGGGGCGAGCGGACCTTGGCCTTCGGGAGCCAGTGCTTTCTCGAAAGCTGCCACGGACCGTGGTCTCTCCCAGTCGGTTTCTCTTACTGGACTCTGCACTCTTTAGAGATGGACGGTGTCTTTCATCTCTGTTTTACCACTCAGCACAATGCTAGGCACTCAGAAGGTGCTTTTAAAAATGCGTTAATGAAATTGCCTCAAGACAATAAGGCTAAATTCAAAAAGTAGAAGTGAAAAACAAGGGAAATCTTCCAAAATAAAACCGAAAGCTTGGGTCTCCCACCGAGGCCGGGCTAGAGACGGAGGTGGCGCCGGGCGGCGGCCGGGGCCCAGCGGGCGACTTACTGCGTGTGGATGAGCACGTGCTGCTTGAGGTCCTGCCTGCGCATGAACAGCTTGTCGCAGTAATCACACTTGAGGTTCTTCTCGCCCGTGTGGATGACCATGTGCGACTCCAGGTGCGCCTTCTGGGTGAAAGACTTGTCACACAACGTGCACCTGTAGTTCTTCTGACCTGCACGTGAACCCAAGTTACACAGGTGAACGGCAGCACCGCACCACTGCATGGCACGACCAGAAGGCGCACGGCGCGCGGAGAGGCAGAGCCGCGGCGCCAGGCACCGACCTCCTCCAGGGCTGCTGCTCTTGGAGTTTACAGCTGACGCATAACGTGAAAAACAATTTAATTCCTCAAGTTTACAGCTGACCTATGTGAAAAAAATAATTTAACCACCGAACCTAAGTTTCAATGCCTCACAAATTCGAGTGCTTGTCTATAGGCAAACAGTTCCGCAGCCTACGTTTTAGAGTTTTCTTTCTCTTTTTTAAAGTATTGAATGAGGTCTCAAAAACCAGGAATGAAATTAAAGAATAAAGAAGTTAAGATTACTCTAGTCAGGCCTTGGCAAAACTTTTCTTAGATTATTTCAATTGTGGGCCACACAATCTTAATGCAAATGTGACTTCTCCACCGTAATGCCGCAAAATGAGCAAGAATTTTATTTTCAAAGATTTAGAGAACAAATGATCCAAGTAAGAAACCTTCATTAGTTATTTTGTATTAAAAAAAAAAAAAAACTGCTAAAAAGGGAGAACTGGTTGCAGAGAACAGCTCCCAAAACAAGCCCAAAGGAGAGAATGGGCTCTGGAGAGCGGGGGCCGCCCCGGGCCGTCCAGGCCGCCCTGTAAGGTGCCCTTCGCCGAAAGCCAGCACGTGAATCAACTTCCTGATCATGAACTGAACTTTTCCCCACCACGTCAAACTACGGTGGGTGGACCTGGAAGGTGGAAAGTCTTAACAGATGGCAGTGAAACTCGCAGGAAGATTTCACCACCCAGCACAGCCCCGCCGACTTAGCCCGGCAAAGCCCTCACGCCACCACAGCTGCTGCCTGCTGTGGCTCTCTGACGGTCCCAAAGAGCCCACCTGTGTGTATCTTCAGGTGGGTGCGCAGGTTGCTAGGGTCACTGAAAGCCTTGCTACAGAAGTCACACTTGTGGGGCTTCATGCCCATGTGCCCCATAAAGTGGACGTGAAGCTTCGAAGGAGAGATAAACGCCTGGGGGCACATGGAGCACTTCCACTTCCTTTCCTTGCTGTGGCCCGGCCCATGGCTGCTGCTGTGGCCCTGGCCAGGGAGATGGTTGTGGATGTGGCTGGTCAGGTGGGCCTTGAATTCTGTGTAGGAATTGCACTCCTTGCCACAGTTACAGAGGTGCACGTCTGGGTGTTCAGGAACACCTTACAAAGAAAAATACTCAAATCATTCTGATACTTACACTTAAAAACCTGTTCTTGCTAATAACTGTTACAACTATCCCCCACCAAGATTCTGCAGCTTGCGCTTTTCCTATACAACTAAATTGTCTTGTTCAATGCTCTGTTCCCATCATGTAAATTAGTGTGTCCGGCACACTCTTTGTAAATACTGGATTGTAAGGCCGCTTTCTGAAGCAAAGAGAATATTTATGTGAACATGCCTGGTTGGAAATTCATCTTGTAAGACCCTGCCAGGTTGTGGCCCTTCTAACCCGGGGGACTACTGACTTGCTTTCAGCATGAATTGTCCCACTGACATATTAATCATCACCAAAACTATACTCTGGTTCTTGGTGTTTTCACTATGCCAGATTCACACAGATAAGTCATATACTAACTTACCAATCTGCTGAGCATAATCCCGGCTGTAATAAAAAAGCAGCTCATTTTCGGGAGGGATATCTTGAGAGGTGCAGAAATAGATTTTGCCATCATGAGGATATGCCACCAAGTTCTGCTCTTCCCGGTTCCTAGGTTATTATATTGAACAGATCAAGCGTATTAATTTTAAAAATAAATATTAAATGAGTCCTATCTCCCATAACAAAATTCTATATGAAAACTTTGATGTAACTATTTTCCCTGGGTCATTTTTGTAATTCCCTATCCTACCTAGTAGGAGAGACTAATATAGAAACAGAATTTTACTTCAGTACATCAGCTGGTTGCCCTTTACAACAAAAAATGCTAGGACCTGTTAGTGCAAACTAGTAAGTAGTCGTAACAAAACAACATGACAGAAAGAGAGAGAAAGCTGAAGAAGAATTAACAAGTCTGAGGAGTTGACTAAATAGCCAATATAAAGAGAAGGTAGCAACCTGCAAATTCAGTGATGGCTGATCTCACTCCTTACTGTATTGGCAAGTAGAAAAAACTATTCATAAGAAATGGACAATTTCTTGTATTTTATTATCACCACTAGTCAGAAGCTACTGGAGTGAACGACACTGAAAAGCCTTTCAGCCTAGAATTCTCTGGCTCTTCCCTATTTTTAAAAAAGATTTATTTTATTTATTTATGCATACAAGAATAAGGGTCTAGGCCAAAGGTGCAGGGGGTGAGAGGATTCACCAGAGACAGAGTGGGGAGCAGAGGGGACACAAGGGAGGGCTGGGGATGGCGCTCAGGCCACAGTGGCTGGCAATGACTTGACAGCGCTGTAACTTAACCCCTGTGCCATCAGGAAGGCCCAGCTCATCCCTATTTTTTTTTTTTTAATATTTATTTATTTGTGCATACAGAGCTGGGGTACAGGCCAGAGGCTCAGGGGCAGTGAGAGGCTTCACCAGAGACAGAGTGGGGAGCAGAACAGGCAGATCCACGAAGTACACTGCTGAGGGGAGCAGCGGGCGGGTCAGGAGAGGTCTGCCACGCCCTGTGGTCTCCTCGGGGCAGGCGGGGATCGAACTCATGCAGAAGTGGCTTTAGCTTCTCAGTGCTGTGCTTTAACCCGCTGCGCCATCAGGGAGGGCCCCAGCTCATCCCTATTTTATGAACAACTGCCAATTGAAAAACATCTCAATCGAAACTGCTTTCACCCGAGACTACTCTTACCTGGCTTTGCGCACAAACATCATCCAGTTGCATTCATTCTCATCGGTTGTGACGATGCAGAACTCTAGGACTCCATTGTGGTACATCTGCCGACAGAAGGCAAACAAACATAAACTGACAAGCCACACAAAGTGCTACTAAATTTAGGCTGGCCGTGAGCTCACAGCTTCGCAGGACGGCCCAGCTTCCGCAGCTGTGTGTATATGCAGAGCTGCCACTCCCATGCTTGAAATTTTACCAGACCCCGACTTCCAGCATCACCATAAAGACCTTCAGGGACCCACGCCAGTGCTCAAGAGAGAGGACGGAGTTATTCTGCAACAGTCACATCTGGGCTTGACTACACGTGTCTTCATCACTGACCAAAGGGCAGCAGCGAGTGACTGTGCGTTATCAATGCAGAGGACGAGCTCTCCCACGGCTGTTCCAGCCGACTAGCATCTCCCATGCTCTCTTTTGAACACCAAAATTAAAATCCCTAATGCCAGTGGCGTCTTTCCACGTTACTACAAAATCCACTTTCCTGTCACTTCAACTCTGCAGGCCTATTCCTCAACCTACTAAGATCCCATGTAACATGTGATAGGAACTCTACACCCTCTAACTCCTCTCATCAGAAAATTAAAGTCTTAGTTTGATTATAAAATTATTTTCCAAGCTAACATGAGGAACATTTCAATTGATTACAAAATACGACCTGCACCATATCAACAAAGTCCCTTGCTCAGCTGCCACAAGTAAATAAATGCAGAACCACTGGGTTATCGAACAAGAACAAAAAGTTTGTCCTTTATATTTAATGCTGATGGGGTATTTTATGTTTATTATAACTTGGTTATCAGAAACAGAAAGGCTGTAATAGTAAATAAATGACCTATGAGGTTTGGCTAATTTTGACTTTTACTCCACTTTTTAATAAGTTCATTTTTATATCATTTTGTGCCTTTTTCCACCTCAGCTGTAATCCCCGTGGGCTTCCCATCACCAAATCCCCCGTGTGCCATCACCATAGTCCAGTGCACTTCCCTCCCCCCACTGTTTTTGATCCCATTCCCCACTCCACCCTTATACCACTTTTAATGATCTCTACAAAATAACAGCATCCAAAAGTCACATTAAAGGCTCACACTGACCTTCCAGACATGGTTGACTGCCTTATCCGTCCATTCTGCCACCTCCATGGAGTGACTCTGCTGGCCAATGAGAGGCCCGAAGCAAGTCCGCACAGGAATGGTTTCTCCAGTCCATACACCTGTGAGTGGGAGGACACCAATGATTTAAGCATCTAAGAGATACAGAAGAGACAGGAGCTTACATCATGCAAAAAACCCAAGAACTACTGATATTCCAGCATCCCTAGCTAAGTAGCAACTAAGTCTTACTGGCTCCACCCTGTAAATATGGACAATGCAACAACAATATGGGGCTCAGGAGAAATATGCAGAATGAGAAGCCATATTAGAAGTTCCTGAGCCCAGTTTATATACAAGGAACCAGACTATTTTGGACTTAATACAGAAAAAAAGTATAGAGCACACTACTATAAAAATGTAAGCAATTACTACAAATAAACTAAAACATTTAAAGCACTGCATCCTATTTAGTACTTAGAGCAGCGTACGATCGGATCAAAGTTGTTGACTGTTCTCAGTTGAAGTCCAAGCTACAGCTGAAAGAATAATGAATCCAGTTTCGTATCTCTGAAGAAATGGCAGGGCAATTCAGAAAGCGGGTTCAACTCACACGTGTCAGAACACTCCGTCTACAGCCCTTGTTCCTTTTTCTAAGGAATGTAAGACAACTTACACACACTCTCTCTAAACATCTCCTATGGTAAGAGGTCAAGGGTGACCTTTCCACACCTCCACGAAGAACCGAGTGGCAAGCAGCGCTTTGTCATGGTGATCATTCATGAACGCTGCCCCAAGAATACAAATCTTCAAAGAGCCGCCCAAGATTCTTCTCTCTCTCCAATTCTGAGTCAAGAAAGGGGAACCTGACCAATAAAATCTTCAACTTCATTTACTCTCTCTCGACAAGACAGACGGTCAGCCAACAGCTGTCTTCTGAGTCAACCAAATGATCACTAAATTATCCACGGCCACTTTCACAACTCTCCCCCTCAAAGAGGAGAGACTTGATGGGGTTTTATGGCTGCCGGTTCTTACCAACTTCTGCTCCCACAATTGACTGGCGGAGAACAAGCTGCTTTGGGAGAGAAAGCCTCGCTCTGCTCTCTACTGGAGTGTCAGGAACAAAAGTCACTGGTCCATGGTCTGGGCAGTCCGAGGGATAGGCTCGGTCACAGAGTGTACACCCTACGGATGGGAAATTGGAGACACACAAATGGGCTTAGTTCAAGCGAGCTAAATTATCTTCTACGTAAATGCTAATTACAAAATGTACCAATAGGAAGGAAGGTCCTAGCAGAAATTAGCTGGACAAAGACAGACTTCCTTACAGTTAAAACATAGGTTCCCTCCCTATCTCTCCTTAGCAAGATCTGACTTTTGTCTTTTGACTCAAAGGGAAAAGTTTCCTATACAGTGCCTAAGAGATAGACTGATTTAAAAAAAAATACATTATTTCAAGGATCAAGCACACAATCTCTTACATGAAGCAGATAAGTTAAAATCTTCAGATACAGTGTTGGAACATCCAGCCAGTCCCAGTCTACCAAACAGCAAGAGGAAACAGTAGAAAATGCTGTCAGTCAGGCAAGGCCAGAACAGAGAGGACACTGTAGGCCACAGAGCCAGAGGCTCTCTGTTCTCCTGCGTTTCTAGAATCCAGCTGGTCGACCAACTTTTGCTGAGTCAGCAGACAAAAAATGAGAACTCGCAGCCTTCTGGGATGCAGGTGGAGCCTTACTGTTGCAGGCGTATTTGCTTTAACATTTTTTTTTTAAGATTTATTTATTTATTCATACAGAACTGAGGTACAGGCCAGAGATGCGGAGGGTGAGAGGATTCACCAGAGAGAGTGGGGAGCAGAACAGGCAGACTGACAAAGTACACTGCTGAGGGGAGCAGCGGGCAGGTCAGGAGAGGTCTGCCACGCTATGTGGTCACCTCCGGGGCAGGCGGGGATCGAACTCATGCAGAATCGGCTTAAGCTTCTTAGTGCAGTGCTTTAACCTGCTGCACCCCAGAGAGGGCCCTGCTTTAACATTCTTAATTGCTTTCTGTTCATATGATACTTTTTAACACTGTCACTGTCAGAAAGGTTGCTAACTTCATATACCCTGCACTTACTGAAATATCACTTACACGAACTCAAGTATCCTCATCCCATAAAGCTTTGCTCTTTATGTTTTCTTTCCATTTAAAAGTGATAGTCATATCCCTGACTGTCAATAATTGAGTTCAAATGCTCCAAATTTATTCACAAAGTGGAACCACATGCATCTGTCTTTATTTTCTCAACAATCTGGTAGAAATTTCTACTTAAAGGCATAAAGTATCAGCATATTTCAACACTTAGGCAAAATAGGAATGATACATTACTTCAACTATTAAGATTTTTTTCACTATCAGAAATCGTCTACACTAAGAATTCATTCTGTAATGTTCTTAATAATCACTTCCAAAGGCGATTCATACTTCAAACTATAAAAACTGTTCAATGTTCTGCAAAGACACACAAATGGCTAGTAAGTACACGTAAAGATGTTCAACATCATTAGTCATTAAGCAAAGCCATAATGAGATGCCAGTTCTCATCCACTGGGCAGCTGTAATAAGTAAGTGGTGGCAAAGAGGTGGGGAGACTGGACCCCTCCAACACTCATGCTGGGAACGTACATGGCATGATCACTGTAGGACGACTAGTCTAGAGTTCCTCAGCCAGTTAGAGAGAGAACTACGCCCAGACATACAGCTAAGAAAATTAAGAAATGGATAGCCAAAAAGGAGAAACCACCGGATGTTCATAAATTATAAACAAATACTCAAAACAGCATGGCTGTAACTCACCACAGAGGAGGGGAGTGCACTCAAGCACACGCGTGAGTGGGGTGTGCTGAGAATGGCCCCGTGACGCAGTTCCTGAGCTGTGCAAAGGCCAGGGTGTGGTTAACCCAGGGTGGCAGGCCACACCTGCTCCTCAGGACCAAGAGACAAGAACAGAGCCTGCAGGTACACCCGTCACACAGGCGGCCGCCATGACTCTGCCGCACTGGCACCACGTGGAGACACCACAACCACATGCAGCTAAAGAACCCAGGTATAGAAACCAGTGTGACTCCACTTCTCTAAAATCAGAACAGGGAGCCCATATCTAAAAAGCAGACCACCACTTGCCTAAGAACCAGGGAGCCAGCCGGGAGGTGAAAACGACAGGCTGCAGCTGGCCCACTCAAGCAAAGGAGCAGGAGGCTCATGAGGCCACCTCTCATCTTCTGCCGCCCACAGCCTACACTCATTATGTCTCTAAAGTAAAACCCTTAAAAATTGCAAAGAGAGACTTTAAAGGTTAGTATCCCTGCTGCTGAGCATCCAGATGCTTCCTCCCTTTTGCACAGCCCTCCTCTGGAAGCGCGCCCTCTGCTGATCTTACTATTTCCTCTTATCACTCCAAACTCTTACTAAAAGATGGTTTCACCCCACCTCCATGGCCAGGAGGTGCGCTTAGTGCTGAGGGCCCCAAAGTATTTGCAGACAGATCTCTGGGCGTCAGAGTCAACTTCTCACTAGGTAGCTCTACTAGCATCTTAGATGCTGAAATCATGTCTGAAGCTCACTATCAGACCTCAACACCAGTCTATCCCCCCTCTACCACTCACCCTTCTAAGGACAGCTCCACTGTCTACCTAGTTTCCCGGTGCCAGGAACCAGTGTTCTCTCCTTAACCCCCTCCAATCTCATCCAATCAAGTTCTACTGGATTTGAAAACATCCTCCACTTTCACCTTTATTACCTCTGCTCTCAGTGAGATGATCATCCCCTTACATCATCGTACCTGTTTACTTACCTCCAACAAGCCAGTTAGCCTCACACTGCAGCACAACCGCCACCCCAACTCTCACTCCTTAAAACCCTTGACTGGGGCCCTCCCTGGTGGCGCAGCGGGTTAAAGCACAGCACTAAGAAGCCTAAGTCACTTCCACATGAGTTCGATCCCCGCCTGCCCCGGAGGTGACCACATGGTGCGGCAGACCTCTCCTGACCCGCCCACTGCTCCCCTCAGCAGTGGACTTCACCAATCTGTCTGTTCTGCTCCCCACTCTGTCCCTGGTGAATCCTCTGGCCTGTACCCCAGTTCTGTATGAATAAAAAAAATTAAAAAAAAAAAAGAACCCTCGACAGGTCCTTGACTGGTCTTCGAAGACCCTCTGTGTTCTGGCTCCTACTTCTCACTCATCGCATACTCTCCTCACCTCTGTTTTGGGCTTCAACAACTGAACCACTCCCATTCTTTTAGTGGTAAGCCCTTACTGTGTGCCTGAACACCGCTCTTTGAGTCTCAACTGCCAACGCCTTTGTCCCCGCCTGTGCTAACGTGTGTAGCTGCCGCCATGGCTTCCCTTCCCGCTCCACAGCCGGGTAGATGCTCCCCCAGACTCCTTTAAGCTCCGTGCACTTACTCCCTTATCATGCGGTGCTGAAATGGCCTGGTCACGACCTAGGCTTCCCATCAGACTATCAGTTTCTGAAAAGCGTGGCGGGACCTCGTAGCCCCTTTTCTCCCAATGTCAGGTGAGGTGGGCACAGTTAGCACTCAACACGTCTCCTGCCTGGATGCAGCCTAGAAGTCAACTGTTTCACTTCTAACCCAGTTAGCCTGGCTCAGGAAAAGAATTCTAGCATAGCCTCTGGTGACTGATATACATTCTGAGCCAAAAAACAAAGTATCATTTGTATCTATCTGCCTTGCTCCATTAGAGGTCCATGATGGAATTCATGTTATCTGAGGCTGAGAAAGCACAGGCATGTCACACAGGACCTTAGCAAGTTTATCCTGTTAAGTGACTGTTTATGTAACCTAGGGAAAGACCTTAAATAGTACTGAGCTAAGCTTATCTGTAAAATGCAGAAATGACATTTCTTTACTTCAGGAAGATGCTCTAAGAACCAGTGAAATTTTATACATCATTTGGCTTATGTGAGGAAAATGCATCACATTAAGATAATGGACAACAAATAGGCACAGAACAATTTCGAAGTCGAGTTACTTTCTATCCTCTCTTAATCCACACCTGACTGTCAGGGATGAGGGCCATTTCTACCAGTATTTCCAAAATAAAAAAGGCTAAACACACTCACAAATTGTAAACAAGGTTGCCATATTTTCCTTGTTTGAATTGGAGTCTTCCATTTGCAGTGAAGGTGGTACAAAGGAAAGACTGTCTGAAGATACATCTACATGACCTGTCCCCATAGCAACCTCCTGGGTGATGGAGGAGACAGCCACAGGTTCTAGGCTTAGGCCAACTTCATGGAGGGAAACAGACTCTAGGGAGGCGAGGTTGTGTGAGGTAGAGAGTGCCACGCTTACAGAGTTGGTGCTCATGGCCACGGTGTGGATGGAGTCACTGAGGGCACTGTCCGACATCCCGCTGACACGACTTGCAATGTGGTCTGTCTCCATAACCACAGGGAGCTCCAGGCCATTCCCATGAATGGGCATCACACCCGCATGTCCCACAGTGTCCGCTGCAAGGCTGCTGCTCACAGAATCCACAGACAGAGGTTCATGACTTCTGGAGCCACTTGGGATTTGGGAATGCTCGCCTGCAACACCGTCCATGGTAAGCTCTTCTGTCATGCCATCTGTAGAGATCGGGCTGGTAACTCTGGAGACGTTCTCCATTGTGATTGTTGTGTCCAAAGCCACCTCATGGCCATCACTCGCATGAAGAGTTTGGGCACCATGTGTGTTTACAGAGCGAGAGTCTATTGAAACAATGCCCGGTTCTAAGCCAACATTTCCACTGGACTGATAGGGGTCTAGCGCTGAAGGGTTATTGGCGATAGACAGTGCTGTATTCCCATCAACGTTGATGGAGTTAGGGTGGATGTACTGAGGAGGCGGTCTGTCGGCTAAATAAGATAAAATGCCTGAGAAAAGGAAAATGTGAGAGATCATGGACTTTTTAGTACACTGTTAAATAGAAAAAAATTACAAATGCCTGAAGCTTTTAAGATATTTTCCTTATGGGGCCTCCCTGGTGGTACAAGGTTAAGTCTTAGCACCACAAAGTATTGGCACCCACTGCAGCACAAGTTCAACCCCTGGCCAGCCATGGGGCTGACCCACAGGGCACAGCAGACCCCTGCTGTCTTCCTGCTGCTTCCCTCAGCAGTGGATTTCAGTCAATACGCCTGTTCTCTGCCCCACTGTGTCTCTGGGCAATCCTCTCACCCTCCACATCTCTTGCCTACACCCCAGCTCTGTATGCCTAAATAAATAAGTCATAAAAAAAATATTTTCCTTACAAATATAACTAAATCGTCCAACTATTTCTTAGGTTTAAGCAATATATATACTATAGAAATAACTGTAATTGAGTTTTTTCCTGTGAAACTCAAATTGTAAAAAATTAACTACATTCCTTTGAAGTTGACTGAAAAATTAATAATTTCACACTGCTGCTGAAATAGACATGGCTGGGAATCCCAAGTTCTAAATACTGAAATTTACTCTATTAAGAGTTAAAAGGTAAAATGATTTAAAAGTAGACCATCCAAGTGAAAACAAAATTATGTGTTTTAAATTATTAAATTATTTTAACATTTCAGGGTCTATTTTTTGTAAAATGTCACAATTACACCTGCTTTATTAAAAAATATTTGAACACTGATGCTTGTAAGATGTGGTGAAATGTACCTGCTACACTGCCAGTGGGAATATAAATTACCTAAAACCTCTTGGAATGTTTCTGTATTAAAAAGTACCTCAAAAATTTTCAGACTCTCTTGCATAAAAAATTTCATTTATATGCTAATCTTTCCTAAACACAAACTGCAAACATATACACAAGGACTTTCATAAGAGAATTAGTTGTGATGGTAACGAAAGCTGAAAAAACAAATAATTAAAAGACAAAATCAATAAAGACTGATGTAATGAACCACAGAGTATCCATTTTGTAGAATGTAGTGCATCACTACAGAATAAAGACAAACATGTAGCTACAAGGGAAAATAAGTGTAAAAATAGTGAGAAAGGATACAGAATTGCACAAAGTAGCCTTCCTAAATATACATCAAAATAAAAACATCAGAAAGATGGATGATAGGACTCTAAGTGGCTCCCTTTCCTCCTAATTTGTTACGTTTTCTGAAATGAATATACAATACTCTTGTAACAGAATAAACATTCAATTAACTTTATAGCAAATAATGACACTGTAACAGCACATATGGTTGATAGGAATTGTAATTACAGAATTACAAAAACTGAAACAAGGAGATAATGGAGGAGAAAGGAGAAAAAGTATCTATGTGCCACTATGAAATGAAGCTCAGGCAAGCTACTTATTAATATATCACCTATACATTCTATGCAGGAAAGTGCATAAATACAAACGAAGGCTTCCCTCTTACCTGCAGAGAGGCAGAAAGCATTACTCAAGTTCTCAAGAATTGAGGTCAAGAGTCAGCTCTATTCGTTCTTCTAACTTCCCTAACAACTAATACTCACCAGGTAGAATGGTTCTGAAGTAACTGCTCTCCAGGTGGGGGTAAGGTGGTGGAGGTAGGGTGTAGTTTCTTTCCGGTAGCCCACACATCACCCCACGGTCCCCAATGCCCATCGGGAGCATGAGAGACAAAGCAGAAGGCAGGGAGCTCAGGGAGGGACCCAGATTTGGAATTGCCACTGGCAGCCCTATGAACAAACACATGTTTTGTCAATTAAAAAAAAAAAAATCAGCTCTTAAAACTCTCTCTATACAATGGCTAGACCCAAAAGGTTTTGCATAGGAGCAAAAAACCTCGCCTCGTAGCCCTGCACATGGCCCCAGACACTTGTGCAGACCCCGGAACTACAGTAGTCCTGGCCCTGGGCTAGTTTTCAGGTTCGCTGTAAAATGCCAGTAAGCCTTGAGCTTACTTGGAGAGTAAGCTCAAAGTTAAGCAGACATAGAAGCAACCAACAAATTAAATAAACCACCTCCGGTGGTCTACATTGCCCGTACACAGCTGAACATTTTAAAACAATCAATAATCTTGCTCAAAGAGGATGTAAGAAGACAAATGACAGAGAAATAAAAAGAATGAGAAGAAACATAGCAAGGTTCACAGAGGTGGCCTGTGAGTTGCGATGTTACACATTTCATTATATTTTCAATGTTTCACTTTCAAATAATTCATAGACAGCATTCTACTTGGGAAATAATCTCAAGTTAGATGTAAAGCTGTAATTATCTTTTTTTCACATAATCTTTCCCCACATGGCAGAACATGAAGTTCCAACCCTCATGCTTTCTGGGCCACTTATTAGTGTTGGTTCTCTTCTATTATCTTGGGGACAGAGTGCCCAGGTTGTGAAGATGAGCGGGTAATCCGAGAGGAGTCAACGAAGCAAACCCAAGACGAGGCCAGGGAAAGTGCTACTGCTACACCTATCCACCACCAGTCCAGCACTACACAAAAACGGTTTTCTCTATTAATATACCATATACGGACCCACCGCTCAGACCCGCTTGCTGTCTCCTTTTTACTATCAAGGGGATTTCACCCTCCCTAAGCTCCTTTTAAAAAAAATAAAGGTGGTTTAGTGCGAAAACTCATTCCCTCACCACTCACCGGGGGCTGGGATGGCACTGTGAGTGGGTGAAGCAGCCAAGCCCAGGTGGCTCCCCGAGACTGGCAAGGCATTGCTCACAGAGGATGACGTCAGCTGCTCCATCCCCACTGGGCTCAGGTTCATTTCATTCATCCTAAGAAAGAGCAAACACAACCAATTACGCAGAATGTTACTCAACGACTCCACTTAAGGTACTGAAGGACCTGAAATAGTGGCAGCAAGGAAATGAGACTTGACCAACTATTTCACTATTCAACTATTTTATGCTCACAGCTCTAAGGTAGCTGGTATCATTTTCTTTCTACTGATAAGCAAACTGGGATCAGAGATGTCAATCAACTCAGTCAGCCTCAGACAGCAGAAACAGCATCTAACACAAGGTGCCTTATTCCAAAACCCACATACACTGAAACTGAGCGCAGTCCTTAGAGCACAGTGGCAATGAGGCTTTATTTTTTTAAATTGCCCAAGTTTTTCTCTCATCATATTCATTTTCGAGTCTATTATTTCAAGCCAGAACTTTCACAGGCAATTTGTTTTAACCTACTCAAAGAACTTTTTTTTTTTTATAACAGTTTATTTTTACATCATTTTGTACATTTTTTTTCCATCTCAATTGTAATCCCTGCAGGTACTCAAAGAACTTTTAAGATTCTTTTACCAGGAGTTAAGATGATATTGGTTTGAAGCAGCGCCTCATTTTCTCCTCCATGGATCAAGATATCATTAAAATTCTGTACCTGGGCCCTCCCCGATGGCACAACAGGTTAAAGCACAGCACTATGAAGCTATCACAGCCACTTCAGCATGCATTTGATCCCCCACCAGAGCTGACCCACAAGGCACAGCAGACCTCTCCTGACCCGCCCGCTACTCCCCTCAACAGTGTATTTCAGTCTATCCACCTGTTCTGCTCCCCACTCTGTCTCTGGTGAATCCTC